AACGCTTTAACCACTAGGGTCACCGCCGCACCCTTTCACTTTAGTACCCTTCTGGCGTGACGTGACGAGCGAACGCTTTAACCACTAGGCTACACCACCGCACCCTTTCACTTTGTACCCATCTGGGAAATACCCGGTCTTCGACGTGACGAATCGCTTTAACCACCCGGGCACCCTCTTTGTACCGTGACGAGCGAACCCCGGGTCTTTGCCGTGACGAGCGAACGCTTTAACCACTAGGCTACACCACCGCCCTTGGTTCACCTTGCACAGATTCGATCATTTAAGGCTATTGTAATGTAGCATGACTACTGTACTAAATTACATTCACTCGTGTATTTATATGTGGGTGGAGGCGGTGGGGTAGCCTAGTGGTTGAATCGTTTTCCGAAGACCAGGGTTCGATTCCCCACATGGGTACAATGAGTGAAGCCCATTTCTGGTGTCTCTCATTGTGGCACTGAGGTAAAAGCGGCATAAACTTATATTCACCCGCTCACGTGCGTGTTATTACAACAACCTAATACAAGTTCTACAGATATTTGTCATACAGAACATCAAGGGTTAAATATTCAAGGAAATTGTCACAAATTCTTAAGATACAGAAATCACGCCTTATTATGCTATCAGTGGCGAGATTGCCTGCAAAATCCGCCATAAATCTCGAATTAGCTATTTTGGTTTACGACTTCCACCACAAATGACATATTACTACATAGCTCCGTATCGAGGTACGTGAAAGCTATCGATCGTGAATGACATAAATTGTCTCCCTAGTGATCTATTGGCACAAAGTAGATAATTAATTACCTATGTATACTTGTATACTAGGCAATAAAGCCAATAAAGATAAGCACATACCCACATCCATGGGGGCTTCGACCAATCTTATCGAGTCGCCACGGCTCTAGCATACGGGGCTCAGAACAACCTGCTGGGCAGCTCTAGTTTTGAGACGGACGATCGTAGTCTAGCGGTGAGTGTTTGACGGAGAGTTGGTGGCAGTGGTTCGATCCCAGGTCATGTCATACCAATAGACGTTAAAAGAATGTACTTGTTGTTACCCAGCCTGTGCTCGGCATTAATGGGGATAGAACTACGACTGGTTGGCTTAACCTGCATCATGGAATCTCAGTGGACTGGCGCTGTAAACCGGTATTGTCAATACAATGTATTTATATGAGTGAAGGGAATATTGGTTTACGCCGTGTTGGAGGGGCCGTGGGATAGTCTAGTGGTTAAAGCGTTCGTTCGTCATGCCGAAGACCCCGGTTCGATTTCCATATGAGTACAATGTGTGAAGTCGATTTCTGGTTTTCCCCCGCCATGATATTCTGGAATATTGCCAAAAGCGGCCTAAAATTAAACTTACTCATTAACCGCAGTTAAAATATCCTAGTTATGTGACGTTATATAATCTGAATAAACAAGTGAGTGATAGCGTGAACACTGCCACACATTCAGCAAGGTCACCACAAGTTTAACGACCTGCGATACCCATCGGGAGTGGTACTATGGAAGCGTTGTACTGGAACGAAGGTCTTGTCCACAACAGTATAGAAACACGTACATGGCTAATATCAGTAGATCATGTCCTGTCCCATACTGGGACATACTGGCATAACTACACACTCTTATACAGGGCGACGTATCAATGTGGCCACCCATGCACGGCTCGTCCTTACACCAATACACCTATGGTTGTCTGGTTTATTGAAAACAACAAAAGCTCAGATTTTCTGTCACGGGACATTACTTACATTATAGAATGTCTCTGTGAGAATATCCGTGGTCATCCAGGGGCTGTAATTATATCGTTAAGAAACTATGAATGAGCTCGGTTTAAAGATCTGCATGTTCTGATAATCAGAGAGTAATGGAGCTCGTGGGACATTCATTGATGAGCGTGTCCAGCTCCCAGATTGGTGTGGGCGATGAATGGTTTGGATGATTATGGCTGTTATGGGTGATATTAATTATAAATGTTGCAGTTTTCGCTGTGACCTAGGAAAACATCAGTTCATTCAGAAGTCACTTCCACCCACTTTGCTCTTAATTATTTATGATTCAAATTGATGCTACAGGTGAACTGAGTTAGACACGCCAATATGTATGGCATTTTAAAGGGGGTGGGTAGCCAGGTAGTTAAAGCGTTGTCTTCAATCCAAAAATGTGGGTTCGATCGCCTACCAAATGTGTGATCCCACTGGTATATGTTCATAAAAATTCATAAAAGCAGCGTAAAACTTGACAATAATAAAATGATTACTGATACTATAGTACAGCATACACGTTGATGGATAACAACTTCTTGTTTATATCCATAAAGTTGTATACTTTATTATTGACTCGGGGCGGTGGGGTAGCCACCCATTAATGCAGAGCGCCAGACAGGGACCAACAAGTACCATATTTTAACGTCTTTTGGCATGACGCGTAAGGAATATATATCGCTATGCATAAACACGTCAGTCAATAAGCTGTACTCATACCCACACATATTACACACTCTTATTGACTCGGCTGGGAGAAAATATCAATACAAAATCTGTTGTTTTATTCATGTCAAATCGGGGTGGTAGGGTAGCCTAGTGGTTAAAGCGTTCGCTTCGCCCACATGGGTACAATGTGTGAGGCCCATTTCTGGTGTCCCCGCCGTGATGTTGCTGGAATATTGCTAAAAGCGGCGTAAAACCAAACTCAGTCAGTCAGTCAGTATTATTGACTCACCAACGTCTAGAATGCCGATCAAACAATTAATACTGTTATGGAACTGAAACGTTTAGTATTAAGGTAAAACATATATAACGTGACGATGGTAATAACTATATATTGACTTTACGTCGGACATTGTACGACATAAGTTTGTTTCGAAAATCTACTCTGAAGTTGTTTCGTGTTAATCCGTGCTGTTCTTTAGTAACCCATGCTTGTCGTAAGAGGCGATTAACTTCCAGTGGTGACCGTGAGGCTGACTTGCCCAATGAATGTCACCGTACCCCAGTTGTTTAGATCGATGCTCATGATGTCAATCACCGGACCAGACTCACTAAACAAACGTTTCAGTGTGTTTTAATGTGCAAATTAAATCCTATAAATAGCTCTTATCTTCGATCACGTGTCATTCAAATTGCATTACTTACTATATCCACTTGATTCACTGATTGGGTGTAGTAGATTATCGATCTCTTGGACAGCTGTCTCCGTTAACTGTCGGTGTTGAGTACAATAACTAATTAACACTAGAGGGCGCTGAGTGAGAAGTGTTGCATGCGGTGCCGCTTCCAAAAGATGATTCAGCAGCTCCTGTTCTGCTACTTATTTCGCTACTGTAAAATAAACACTGACAAGATTTTCTTTAAAATAACCCGACATGAACAACATTCTGTGTCAACTTCCGCGTTCATAATGTCCTCGCCCCTTTAACAAATTGGCAACGCGTATCGTGATTCGCTTAGCCTTTCAATGGTTTCTTTTCGGGTGTTGAAATAATATATTCATGACGACTGGGCGGCTTGTTTGTAAAAGCAGGTTTTCAAGGCTGTAGGCTACCTGCTTGTATCTCAGTCAACAGTCCGCTGGTAGCGATCCATTCACCTTTCAAGATAAATATTTGATATGCCAGTCTATTGTGAATATGCAAATACGTGTTAGAGTGTCCTACTGCGATTGTGCCAGCGTTTGTATATATATGTATATATACCTACATCGTTTGTGTGCAAACGTCGAGGGAACATAACATCCTTTTTGGAGGGCTATTAACCTCATTATTGATATAAAACTAACTTATTTCAGTTTTACCGATGTCTTATTAAACATGCACAATGAGTACTTTGTTCAGCTCGTACATCCTTAGTTCCAAAACCTTTTTTTTACAAATGTTTTTTTTTTTTTTCTAAAATAAGTTCCCATGTTGGCTTAGTTTATGGACAGACCTTTTCACAATATGATATGTTATCTTCGATAAGTCTTTATTTGTAGGGGCGATGGGGTAGCCTAGTGGTTAAAGCGTACGCTCGTCACGACGAAGATCCGGGTTCGATTCCACACATGGGTACAATGTGTGAAACCCATTTCTGGTGTCCCCCGCCGTGATATTGCTAGAATATTGCTAGAAGCGGCGTAAAACTAAACTCACTTTATTTGCAGGTATACGTTAAGCTGCCTTCAGTTTAGCATGGCCAGGCTTTCCTTCCGTGACGTGCAATTTGGCCTCAATTCTTAAAAAATGGAAAAGAAAAATGGCTTTGCATGTTCTTCACTTCTATTAATGTTATGTAAAACGCCATAATGATGTGATAAAAGACATAATTTTAAAATAAACACTTTGAAAATGCATAAAATATAATGTTGTTTCAACAAGGATAGTTTAAATATATATTTTATAAGTGAAGTTCAGATTGGTAAATATGCATAAAATTGTTTATATGCCGTGAATAACATAATTCGGCAGTTGACATATAAAAACATGTTGCATGTTTAATATTAAAGTACGGTTTTACTTAAAATTAACCTGTAGCCGTAGGCTAGAGCTGAGGTGTCTGAGCTGAAGAAAGGCGATATCACAATTTCAGAAATTGAATACAGTTTGTGCTTCAGTCTTATATATACTTTGAACAACATGTTATGAATTTGAATCAGAAACATCATCAGACCTTTTACTGTAATGAATACACCCCAGAATAATCCTATAGTGAACATAGCCTATCCATATTGTTGTCTATTCAGGCACTGAAATGTTTCACAACGTTACGAATGTACCCGTTCATAAATTTCCCTATTCATAGCTCAATCCAGCGATGACGAATAATGTTGTAAACATCGTTCGATGAAGTTCCCGATTGTCATGTGACTATTTCAGTAACATATTACCCTCTCCAACCCATTTAGTTGTCTGAAAGAAACCATATCAGTCTCCTTTAATATTTTTGGGAAACGCAGGTGAGATGTTACGAGGATTCAATGCGATGTACTCAACTATTTGTATATCTTTTCAACAGGTGGGAGCGACTAAGGACAGGTTGATTGCGACATCGAGAGACTACCTGGCCCAGGGTTTATCACCGACACCCGACACGACAGTGAAAGGGAACATTCCTCTCGGGCCTACAGAATACGGGGAGCGTCTCAATGAAACTGGCAGAGCGTGGCTGAGGCGAACAAGCTTAGCAACTGGGCAGACAGATCCGCCCGCCGCAGCTCAACAGTCGACTATTGAAGTTCTCTACAGTCTTTGAACAGGCACAGAGGGAGCTGGAAGCCCTCGCTTCGCTGGGTCGGCAGTAGATCTTCAGAGTTGTTAACGCTCGAGTGACGGTAGGCGACTTGCCTCGCCGGGCTGGATGAACGGATTTAGTTGACTTCTGTGGGCCGCTGAGAAAGGCCGGACTAGTTTCTTAGTGGACTGATTGTGCTGATTGGATTTAATCATGTCATTATTCTCAGGAAACAAGACAAAAGACTTATTGTCTAAAAAGGCAAACTTTTATGTGGAGTTTCTGGGTTGGATGGAGACGAACGGTCTCCGTGGTGAGAGGTACACAGAGCCAGTGGTTAAAATACTGCGACAGAGGCAACAGAATGTGGAGAGATCTCCCAAACTGACCGTCCAGGTGAGCAAGAAGGAGGTGAAGATTAGCCAGGATGTTGAGGAGAAGAAAAAGAGGAGTATCAAGAAGATAAAATTCCCGACAATTCCCTCCCGTGATGTGACGTACGCTGTTCAGTCGATGTTTCCGGACGGTCGACCCGATGACACTGTGGCTATCATCTATTTAGGGTACATGCCGCGCACCCAGAAGTACGTCCACGCTCACGTGTACAGATTCGATGAAGCTGCAACGGCTGCAACGTTTGTGGACATGATCAACCAAATCACGGACATGAACGCCATGCGGATCAGACAGGTTGAGAAGGATTTAGCTGATAAAGGGGAGATTGAGGACACCCGTCGCACAATGGTAGGTCTGAACTCCTCTGATGGTATGAGTGACCCTCAATATTCGGTCGAGTCTCCCGCTGACTCCGCTGCCAGTAACAGCTCCTTCAGCGACGACTCGCCTCATTTCGGTAGCGATGAGATTGACCCTGACCTTCAGAGCTTGTCTGACGTGCAAAACTTCGATTCAGTGGCTGATGAACTTCAGTTCAGGTTGAAAATCGGAGACGCACCGATCCTGCTTCCGCCTAAAGACTATGATACTGTTCACAGACAGCACGGAAACCTGGCCGGAACGAAGGAAAGGCGTTGTTTGAACATGGACATAATAGGAGGCCGGGAGAGGAACGGGTCTGGCGAGAGCGGAATAGATTTGAACTCACCTACAAGTGAAACTGGTAGCAAGCTACCCGAATATACAGAAGGACTTGATAAAAATGTGCCTATTAACCCTATAACTCCTGAATTAAGACAGGAGTTCACATACCCCTATGCTTCGCCAAACAGTCCCATGAACAACAGGAGGAGTGTTAGCTCAAGAGATCTGGACAGTCCAAGAACTTCTCGGGAATTCAACGGCTACGGTCCTAACAGTCCATCTCTCCGTCGCAACGACGTCTTTCAACGTCAACATAGTTCTGAGAACTTCAGCGACATGGGCAGCCCTGCACTGCGACGTCACGAAGGGTTGAAGAAGTCGTCCAGCTACAACCACTACGGTTCCGAGAGCAACGTTCCCGGTCGGTTGAACCCTGTCTACAACGGCGACAGCGGACCCAACAGCCCCCGTGTGGTCGCACATGGCCGTCAAACGTCGCAGTCGTCGATGTACAGCAACAACAGCTACAAGAGCGACGGCTCGAGGGGTAGTCGAGGTAGCAATGAAAGAGAGGAAGTTGTGATGTACCCGTCAGTAGAGGACACACCCCTGCTGATTATGACAGAACCATGGGTCCGGCGGAAATGAGGAGGAAGGTTTTAGCCCCTAATTCTGAATACATGAGTCGGGAAGAGCTGACTCAAAGCTTTCCCCAGGCGGAGTTGAGACGGGAATTTTTGTCTGCGTCAATAGGAGGACCCAGGGATCCCCGGAGATCCCAGAACATGGGGGGCGAGATTCAATATGGGGATGTGTATGCCCAAGTTGCAAAGAGAGGGAATTCTATGTACAGGTGAAGTGTAGACAATTACTAATGACTTTCTAACGAACACTGTACACCTATTCGCCTCACAGTTTATTAATACAGACTGCAGATGGAATCTCGTGTGTACAGTAACGATTGTGTGGAGCGTGTACAAAATGATGACGAAGGAGTACTGTTGTGTGCGAACAAGTTATATTCTCAGGATATATGGCAGCGTAAAAAGTGTTCTGTAAATAATTGAAGTGCAACTTGTAAAATCACTTACAAATGTATTTTCATATTCACAGGACATAATGTGTATATAGTTACATATTCTGTTAAAATCAAAACGTACTACACGGGGAATTCCATAATGCACAAAGTGACCTGAGAAACGTTTGAAAACAATGTGTGTGATTGGTTAACGAAACCGCGCGGACGTCAGAGAAGACAACGTGTGAAGTTGAACACAGCAACGGTCCATCTGAACTAGTGGTAGGACCATTTAGCGTCATGCATAGGACCAAAAGTGTTAACAGTCTCACCAGTGAAGGGGTTAATCAACTTGAAGACGCCATTATCAACCAACCTGAACAGACCAGACTGTTTATGTAATGTGTTTTTGTCTGTGTAGCAAATGACTTCTTTCTGGCGATATCAAGGAGGATTTGTTCAACAGACTGAGATTTAGCCTCTAGTTGAAACCTCCCCTAATCTGAGATCAGACTAATCTAACAAGTGAATCATTCCAGGGTTTTTGGACTCAAAGGGATAATCGTCATATTAAATCACGAGGTAGAGAAGCCGACAGCGTGTAAACCTACGAGGCGTGCAAAGACCCGACAAACAGATGCGCTCAGGCAAAGAGTTGCTTTAAATACAGACTATGGCTTGAAGGTCCCTTGAAGGACTGGTATGGACTGAATCGTTCATAAGCAATCTGGGACAGCCTCTGTTGAAATCAATTTTATTTATTACCCAACGAGATCGTTGACGTGCCGTTGAGAAATGGCAAATATTATTTATGTGTTAAAGACTATATCTATGTACATATACAGACACTGATTCAATATACACATATACCGTCTTTCAGTTACGCCCTGCACTGTATAATACTCTGAAAAACCTAGGTCTTCTATGTATAGAGAATCAATGCTTTAATTACCAATGAGTGCATTGTGAAAGTCTGTTTGCCTTTAAAGGGGGCTGCGTTATTTATTGGTCCCAGTTTGATTTATTCAAGCAGAACTTTAATAGCAGTTTAAGTTCAAATTTTATAACTTAAGGTTCATCAACTGAAATAATAGTTAACGATTGCATAATGATACCTAATATCAGAATTTCAACGTTTTGACCTAAATTTACACACGACATCAACATAGTCCATCTAAGGTTATTTTTATAAATGTCTGTTTAAATTATCGATCTTCTGTTATTTCTATTTTGTTCGATATCTGATTCAGTCCTGAGACATTGCAATATGCGCGTTTTGCATGTGCAGACTAACCTGTTGTGACATTGTATAAACATCATTGATCACAGAGAATCGTTGTGTCTTTATTAATTGGTACGAGCATGAAGCAATCATGCCGTTCGTTGATTCATTGCTTCATCGGTATTTATGTCACACATCATGACGCATTGGCGTCCTGGGTTATAGTCCGTTTGGCTCAAAAGCGGACCGATGAATTGCAATGTAACTCGAAAACTAATAAACATATAATACTCAATGAAACGCTGATCATAATAAAAACATCAGACCAACTCTGTGATTTGTTTGCAGAATTTATGTCCTAAAATTAAAAAAATTGTTTAACAAACTATCATTAAAATTTTGATACAGTTCTCTATTTGTTACGAGGGAGGAGTGCAGAAAAAAGGGACAACCAGGTGTTAGAGAAGCACGTACCGACAAAGCTATTGATTCATTAACCTGTGCTGTGCCGTCTCCATCCGTTCTCGCACACCTGGCTGTCCCTTTCTTTGCACTCCTCCCTCGTAACAAATAGAGAACTGTGTCAATATTTTAATGATAGTTTGTTAAACAACTTTTTTAATTTTAGAACATAAATTCTGCAAACAAATCACAGAGTTGGTCTGATGTTTTTATTATGATCAGCGTTTCATTGAGTATTATATGTTTATTAGTTTTCGAGTTAGATTGCAATTCATCGGTCCGCTTTGGAGCCAAACGGACTATAGGTTAGAAATGAATGTGGTTTAAAGCGATGGCTGGGAACTCAACAGTCTGATATTTAAGTATTGAAGTTTCGGATGCGAAGGGCTGTTTTTGAACACTTAATTGCCAGAAAACAACCAGCCTCCATTATCTACGGAAACAGATTCCTATGGGCGCAAAAATGAATTACATGAATGGATCACTGTCAGTCGATAACACCAGGTGTTTAGTTGGATAACACCAGGTGTTTAGTTGATACAAAAGTCGACTGGTGAAAAGAACAGGGAGAAACGACTAATTGTGGTGGACATGTTTGCCAGGTATCTGATGTTGAGGTTACAGTTGCCTCCCTTACTTAAGCCAGGATCTGATGATTGTGATGATCCTAGATTGAGCCTGATGGACCCTAGGTTTGTTAGCCTGTGCTCGTTAAAACTCTTGTATAATTATTGACAGTTCGGGTTAAACCTTCATTAAAGGCTTTTATACAAGTTCAAGGTCTTTGAGAGCAACTCATTCAACAGGGGTATCCGGGAACTACATACCACCTACATTTGTAAGCAATAAAGCCAGAGTGTATTGCTTTCAGGATAGACAGGGTGGAAGTTGTAATAAATCGGTGGTAATTAGGAATTATTTTAAGATCGTGTTTCAGTAATTAGCATTCAAGAAGTAACTTGTTGTAGATCACCTTCCACCGACAGGCACAAAGTAACTATTTGTAGGCAAAAGAGAGGTAAACTTTGAAACAGTTGTGTTAATAGGCCATTAACCTTCACCCCACGCCATTATGTGTGACGAACGCGACAGCTACTGTGTGTACTAGTGTGTAATGGTGACGTCACCCACAAGGTACCGAGACAGAGACGAGAGGGGAAAGAAGGGAGTGAGTTTAGTTTTACGCCGCTTTTAGCAATATTCCAGCAATATCACGGCGGGGGACATCAGAAATGTGCTTCACACATTGTACCCAATGGGAATCGAACCCTGGTCTCCAGAGTGTGACGAGCGGGCGCTTTAACCACTAGGCTACCCCACCGCCCTGGAAAGAACAGGAAGATAGAAGCACCGAAGAAGACATATTGGATGTTAAGTTACAGTAATACCTCTTCGTCTTCACATATGTATGCCACTGTATGGCTTTTCTCTCTACAACTCCGCCATATAGCTGGAATACTGCTGAGTGCGGCGTAAAACTAAACTCACTCACTCTCCCTACAACCCCCGTGTTATTAATGAACTGAACAATATTTCAGTTATATCACGGGGTGTCAATAGATTGAGTGTATACTGATGTCACGCCGAATGTTGGATTCGAACCCAGAAAGTTTAAAGTTCTTGCTAAGCATTTCTAACGTATTGAGAGACTTACGAAGCCGCTCTGAACATTTGTAAGGTCAAGGAGTTTCATCTTGATGTTGGTGAAAACCCGAAAGAATGCAGGCCTTCGACATTTTTCAGTTGGTGCAATCTACGAAGTCGGGATTCATAATGACAAACCTAAACTCATACTGGTGGAAAATCAGTTCGAACCGAATATCATAGCTTTCTTGCACGTCTTGGGACGCTAACTGCGCTACGAATGTGAGGACCTTAGACCTTGTCCCGTCTGTGTTGTAACACTTTGTAAAGTCTCATGACCAGCAAACGTCTGTTCGAGATTTCACGTGATTCTCAAAGAGTAATAAATAATACCTACATCACAATGTACATATACTTTATTTATCTATGTTTGAGTTGTCCGTGCAGGTCACCTGACCTCTGTGTACCTACTCAAACTACAGAAATATAATATATATTCCCCCCTAAATACATCGACGCCGTGGTGGTGAGCCGCACCTGGGTTTAAAGTATACTCTCTACTCTCAGCAGTAAATCCCTTACGTGACGGGTGGGTCACGTGTATCATGGGTGGAGGAGAAAGGGGAATGTGACAGAAACTAAAGACGGAACTGGGTTAAAATCTGTTTTGAAATACTTACAGAAAGGCGTGTCAATTTCACACAGGAAAGTGACGTAGGTCGTGGTCTTTTATCCGCAGTGATGGGATTTGAAATTCGAGCAGAAAAACTGCGGATCCTGGCTGCTAGGGGAGTCAACTCACACATGTTGGATATGAGGTGGCATACTTGAGTTGTCAAAGGTTCCAGAATATCCATATAAACTGACATATCTCCATGTGCAATGTGCACGAACACGCACACACACATAGGTATGTATGTATGTATGTATGTATGTATGTATGTATGTATGTATGTATGTATGTGTGTGTGTATGTATGTATATATATGTGTGTGTATGTATGTATGTACATTGTATGTATGTATGTATGTATGTATGTATGTATGTGTGTGTGTGTATGTATGTATGTATGTATGTGTATGTATGTATGTATGTATGTATGTGTGTATATGTATGTATGTATGTATGTATGTATGTATGTATGTATGTATGTATGTATGTATGTATGTATGTATGTATGTATGTGTGTATGTATGTATGTGTGTATGTATGTATGTATGTATGTATGCATATGTGTGTGTATGTATGTATGTATGTATGTATGTATGTATGTATGTATGTATGTATGCATGTATGTATGTATGTATGTATGTATGTATGCATGTATGTATGTATGTGATGAAGCATAAGCATCATGACTTAATTTGACGTACCTGTAATCGACGTTGCGTTATTAATGTTGCACAGTATATATGTAAGTGTCGTCAATAGGAACACACAAGTGGATGGGGGCTTCCATACTACGTTACACTATAGGCATGAGTGGTGCAGAAAGGGGACATACTATACCAGGTATCTGTTACACGTGATTAGTGTCACGAGAACCCTCGCACGTCACCGTGACTATTGTGAAACACGATCCTTTAGAGGGGATGGGTTGAGAGTGAACAGTGCCTACCGTATGCCGGAGTGAGTGAGTGAGTGAGTGAGATAGATATATGTAGGTATACGATGAGATGCCTGCCTTATGTCACGTTTCCCTACCCTTTCAAGTATGTACCTGTAGACTACCAGGTAAGACAAAGGTGTATTGTTCCAGAGTATCACTGTTACAGCCTTCCCCTTCTACACTAAAACTGAATTCCTTTGCGCGGGGCCTCGGACTAACTGTGGCTCAATCTGGCCATGTTTTTCCCGTGGATTTCTCAATTCGTTTCAATAGACATGTTCTACACATATGCAATAGGTATTTTTATTTGTATTCCTTTCCTATGGTTTGACATACTAATATTCTTTCATTTATCCTCCCCATGTTACATGGTATTGTCATTTCGATTAGTGTACAAGTAACTAAGTTTACAAGAATGAAAAAGAGATAATTTTATATATACTCATGCCAATAATGGTTGTCACCCCCTTCAAATTTTTCAATTGGAGAGGGAGTGTGGGGTGGGGGTGTGAGGTGCGTGTGGGGTTGGGGTGGGGAGGGGGGTGACAACCATTAATGGCATGAGTATATATGAGTATATAATTGTTCTGATTGTTCAGCGACAAATAAATTCGAAAATGAATTTATATGGAAATGGTCTCTTTCAGATATCGTTGGTTATGATCGATAGTCCAAACATAGACTTGTACCCAATCACAGTGGTATTTCACTCGGAGGAGGTAGTTTATAATATATATATAGTTCGTTGTATAGATTCTTATATACGTGTGTCTGTATTGTAGCACTCAAGATAGCAGTGGATCTTCACTACTGGCTTCGGTTTTTGCATTATACATTCAAAACATATCCAAATACATCGTGACATCACTATTTCCTTGCGATAAATACACACACGTTTACCGTAAAGTCAGAATGGTACAATGGTCTCAGAGAGGTTCCTAAGATTTAATTATGGAAATGGTTTTATAACTTTTTTCGACTATGCCATCAAATTCCTGGTGTCTTGTGCCCTGGGATATCTGGTAAGAGCCAGCTTAACCGGGAGGTCAAGCTCGGTGTGAGTGAGTGAGTATGGTTTTACGCCGCTTTTAGCAATATTCCAGCAATATCACGGCGGGGAACACCAGATATGGGCTTCACACATTGTAGCTTCGCGAATGCGAGTCGTCACCGACGTGAACAGTTCTTCACAACATCAACCACCGTCTTGATTATCTACAGCCCGTCAATCATACAGCTGAAATGTTTTAAGTGCGGCGTTAAACAACATGAAAACAACATTGTATTGCTTTCTGCATTGATTGTATATATCTATAGAGCTACAGCCCTCTTTGGCAAAGTACTATTTGCTGACAACTCACAAATGCTCAAACCTGTTAATGGGATTCAGTAGGTCACCGGTACCATGTGATTCTGGTAATGGGATTCAGTAGGTCACCGGTACCATGTGA